ACGGGAAGTGGGTTAAAAAACGACCGAAAGATTTGCACGGTCGTAAGCGCGCAAGCAAGCAAGCAAGCGAACTTAATATAAAGGATTTAAAAAAATAAAAAAAACAGAGCAATGTAATACAATACACTATTAGACATTATTGTTAAAAATAAATAAAAAGTCCATCCTAAGCGTTAGTGATTTTTTAAATATTTTAGACAGGAAATGAGTTTTCAAATTGAGATTTTTTTTTCTGGGGGGGCCCAGACCCCCTGTAAGATTTGCCCCCCCCCCCGCAATGTTGACTCCATGGCTACGGCCTCGTGTAGTGTTCTCGACGTTACTATGTTTGTAAAGTTTCAAAATATCCTACCCAGTGTGCTTGGGAGCCGTCCATAAATGACGTCACGCACCTAGGGGGGGGGGGGTCAGACATTTGTGACGATGTGTGACGTCACATCAAAATGCGCAACTTTAAATAAATATAGATAAAACGTTCTACTTAATAAAATAGACTTTAACTGGTAGGAACCCACTGGTTCCACCAGCCCACAGGAGATTATTGTGTCCGTCCGGCGGTCGTGCAGGGAGGAGCTGGGTGGGGAGGGAGGGAGGGGCTGGGTGGAGAGGGGAGGGTGGGGAGGGGCTGGGTTGGGGAGGGTGGGGGCTGGGTGGGGAGGGAGGGGGGCGGGGCTGGGTGGGGAGGTGGTGCTTGGGTGGTAGAGGGAGTGGAGTAGCTTGGGGGTGGAGAGGGAGGGGCTGGATGCAGAGGGGAGGGTGGGGAGGAGGGCTGGGTGGGGGAGGTGGGGCTGGGTGGAGAGGGGAGGGTGGGGAGGGGTGGGTGGGGGGGTGGGGCTGGGTGGAGAGGGGAGGGTGGGGAGGGCTGGGTGGGGGAGGGTGGGGCTGGGTGGAGAGGGGAGGGTGGGGAGGGGCTGGGGGGGAGGGTGGGGCTGGGTGGAGAGGGGAGGGTGGGGAGGGGCTGGTGGTGGGGAGGGTGGGGCTGGGTGGAGAGGGGAGGGTGGGGAGGGGCTGGGTGGGGAGGGTGGGGCTGGGTGGAGAGGGGAGGGTGGGAGGGGCTGGGTGGGGAGGGTGGGGCTGGGTGGAGAGGGGAGGGTGGGGAGGGGCTGGGTGGGGAGGGTGGGGCTGGGTGGAGGGGCGGGTGGGGAGGGGTGGGTGGGGAGGGTGGGGCTGGGTGGAGAGGGGAGGGTGGGGAGGGGCTGGGTGGGGAGGGAGGGGCTGGGTGGAGAGGGGCTGGGTGGGGAGGGGCTGGGTGGGGGTGGGAGGGGCTGCGTGGGGGTGGGAGGGGCTGGGTGGGGGGTGGGAGGGGAGGGGCTGGTCACCCAGTGGTGCCCTTATAAAACTCAACGTTTAACCTACTCACGCTGGCTTGTGCCCACCCTCACAGTCGGGCATATTTGCGGAATACACCACGCCGCGTTGACCCTGCAGGCCATTGACCGAGCAACCCGACGTTCCTACCAGCTCCCTCCGCAGGAATGTGTTTTTGTATTCTTAGGTTTTTTCGGTAAAGTCACGTAGGTAAAAAAATTAAAATTTATAAAAGTTAAATAAAATAAAAATCACGACGTGTCGGAGGCAACACAAGCTTCCGTCTTCAGGTGGAACCGTCACAGCCTGACTGCTGCAAAAAAAACCTAATAATATGAATCCTTGCAGTCACGAAAGCTTCAAATCTAGAATGTGTTTTTGGTTTGCCAACTCGCTGGCCACGGAAGTCCAGTTGACCATGTTTTTCTTATAAATGCCACTGTATATATTGCATCATGGGAGGTGGGTGGGTGTGTGGGGTGGGCGTTAATTATTCATTAGTATCCAATTAGTAGCCGTGCCAGTGTTGTGGGACAATGAAACTATCCACTCTTAACTCGGGCGAAACACGCGTACGCCTACAAGTGGAATTTACATCGGAATCCACAATCCACGAGGGGCGAAGAACAAAAAAATCCACTCCGGGTTCGATCCCGATCCAAATAGTATATGGAGATTTAAAGCTTCTTTCGTGACTGCAGGGATTCATCTTCATGGTTCTTTCGGTAAAGTCACGTAGAAGGGAAATAATAAAATAATAAAACATAATAAAATTTCGATTTAAAGCTTCTTTCGTGACTGCAGGGATTCATCTTCTTGGTTCTTTCGGTAAAGTCACGTAGAAGGGAAGTAATAAAATAATAAAAATAAAACATAATACAATTTCGATTTAAAGCTTCTTTCGTGACTGCAGGGAATCATCTTCTTGGTTCTTTCGGTAAAGTCACGTAGAAGGGAAGTAATAAAATAATAAAAATAAAACATAATAAAATAAAATAATTCTCACGACGTTTCGGCTACAACGCAAGCAGCCGTCTTCAGGTGAAGAACTGAGACACTGCCAAGCTAGGAGCTTATATATATACACCTCCAACTCAACTCCTAGCTTGGCAGTGTCTCATTCTTCACCTGAAGACGGCTGCTTGCGTTGTAGCCGAAACGTCGTGAGAATTATTTTATTGTGTTTTATTTTTATTATTTTATTACTTCCCTTCTACGTGATAATTTTACCGAAAGAACCAAGAAGATGAGTATATGAAGAGTGAATCCACCCCGGAAAATTCAATTTCCGAATGGTAACACCACTGCGTAAGACATACAGTCATAACCCGATCCCAATCCGAACGTTTGGCATGCAAATATGAAACTCCACTCCGGGTTAAAATTGATTCATTTTGCATCCCATGAAACAGATGGAGAAACTGGTTTGACTCCATAGGAGCCCCCCCCCCCGCTCTTCGCCCCTGTCTTTGAGCATCTGGTGTAGTTAGTTTATAATCGCTATTGGCTCACGCAAAGCTTGGCTCTGCTGATGCTACACTGAAAGTCCAAACCAGTGTCCCGGCGTTTGCTTGCATTGTAAGGTGTACTCCCAGAAGGCCGAGTAACTGATGGGATTACATTGGTTTTGTGTATATATTTATGTTGTGGAGGCGTTGTTTGTCCGCTGACATATATTTGCGTGAGATGATCCGGTCCTGGTTTCCCTTTGCAAGATCCATTCCGCGAGCCGGCGTCAGTGGGGAGGAAATCCACTCCGCGTTTTCCGTCTCGCGCGCTCGCATTCCTCAGTTGCCAGGGGCGAGGGGCGGGGGTGTGTGGGGGGTGGGGGAGGGGTATGTGGGGGGTGGGGGAGGGGTGGGGGGTGGGGAGGGGTGTGTGGGGGGTGGGTGGGGGGGATGCTGGTAATGTGGGTGGAGCCTATTTTCAATTCCTTCGTTGCTATTGGTCAGTTCTGATTCTCACGCACCAATCATACGCCAGATGGGGGCGGGGAACTGCTTACGCGATGACGTCACCGCGCACGCTTTGGGTCTGGAGAAGCTTAGCTCGAACGTGATGACGTCACTACGCACGCATTTGGTCAGGGCACTCCGTCGCTTATCTCGAGCGTGATGACGTCACCACGCACGTTTTTAACCAGAGTGGTCGCTTGGCTCTAGCGTGATGACGTCACCGCGCACGCATTTGGGTCAGGAGAGTCGCTTCGCTCGAGCGTGATGACGTCACCGCGCACGCTTTGGGTCAGGATGGTTGCTTCTCTAGCGTGATGACGTCACCGCGCACGCTTTGGGTCAGGAGAGTCGCTTCGCTCTAGCGTGATGACGTCACCGCGCACGCTTTTGGTCAGGAGAGTCGCTTCGCTCGAACGTGATGACGTCACCGCGCACGCTTTGGGTCAGGTGGTCGCTTTGCTCTAGCGTGATGACGTCACCGCGCACGCTTTTGGTCAGGTGGTCGCTTCGCTCGAGCGTGATGACGTCACCGCGCACGCTTTGGGTCAGGAGAGTCGCTTCGCTCGAGCGTGATGACGTCACCACGCACGCTTTGGGTCAGGATGGTCGCTTCGCTCTAGCGTGATGACGTCACCACGCACGCTTTTCGTCAGGATGGTCGCTTCGCTCTAGCGTGATGACGTCACCGCGCACGCTTTTCGTCAGGATGGTCGCTTGGCTCTAGCGTGATGACGTCACCGCGCACGCTTTTGGTCAGGAGAGTCGCTTCGCTCGAGCGTGATGACGTCACCGCGCACGCTTTGGGTCAGGATGGTCGCTTCGCTCGAGCGTGATGACGTCACCGCGCACCTTTGGGGTCAGGATGGTCGCTTCGCTCGAGCGTGATGACGTCACCGCGCACGCCAAAGGCTTAACACCCGAGTGGGGAAGAAAGGCGGAGGGCTCGTGACGTCATCACGCACGATGGTTCTCGAGCGTGCATCTATTTGAACGTAATGACGTAATCGAACGTCATCGCGTTCGTTGGCCGATGGCTACGAACGCGGTGACGTCACCACGTCAAGTTGGCACGCGCGCGCGGCAAGTCGATGTGACGTGACGTCATCGCGTTTGGCGGTTGGTGGGGGCGGGAGTTTAGCTCGGTGTAGGGTGGATGGGTGTAGAGGGGGGGGGCTAAAAAGGTGGGCGGGGCTAAATAAGGGGGCGGGGCTAAATAAGGGGGCGGGGCTAAATAGAGAAGGGCTAAAAAGGGGGCGGGGCTAAATAAGGGGATGGGGCTAAATAGAGGGGGCTAAATAAGGGGCGGGGCTAAATAAGGGGCGGGGCTAAATAAAGGGGGCGTGGCTACACAAGGGGCGTGGCTAAACAAAGGGGCGGGGCTACACAAGGGGGGCGTGGCTACACAAGGGGGGGCGGGGCTACACAAGGGGGGAGCGTGGCTACACAAGGGGGGGCGCGGGCTACACAAGGGGGGGCGGGGCTACACAAGGGGGGGCGTGGCTACACAAGGGGGGGCGTGGCTAACCAGGGGGGGCGTGGCTACACAAGGGGGGCGGGGCTACACAAGGGGGGAGCGTGGCTACACAAGGGGGGGCGGGGCTACACAAGGGGGGGCGTGGCTACAAAAGGGGGGCGTGGCTACCCAAGGGGGGCGTGGCTAACTAAGGGGGGGCGTGGCTAACCAAGGAGGGGCGGGGCTAACCAAGGGGGCGTGGCTAACCAAGGGGGGGCGGGGCTTAGCGTGCGAGGCGACTGAGGAGATCGCGCGCGTTTTTTTCCTCCCCCCTCACAGAACGCAGCGAACAACAAAAACAATTTAAATTATATCCGTCATTTTGGCAACACAAGTTTGAACGACGCTACGCACACGACCACATCATCATCATGTCGCAAGACGAATGCTGGGGCTGGTCAGGCTGCGAGGAAGCGCTGCACGGAGCGTGCAGAGACGGAGACGCGGTCCGCCTGGCGCAGTTGCTACGTTCGGCAAGATACGATCCCCTCGCCGAAGACAGACTCTACGGCTGGGCTCCTCTTCACTGGGCCGCATACTTTGGCAAGGTAAAGCTGCGTGTTTATCTTTTTTGCCCGCCAAAAACAAAAAATGTTGTGGTTTTTTTGCCGCTTCTGAGGCGACCGGTGTTGAGAATCGTCGGTGGTTTGTTTGGAGTCGGACCTTTTTGAATGGATTGAAAAGGGGAAATGAAAGCTAAGATCGATTGTTCGTATCGATAGGTATGTTCGAATTACGTCCATCGATCGCTTTGGACTCTTGTCGTTGATTTGCGTGCGAACGGCGGTGGACGAATTCGGTTTATAATCAAATAAACATAACGAGAATCGATACTGGAAATCGATAGCGGCGTTTCAAAATGTTATCGGGCGAAATTCGACGGTGAAAAAATTTACCTCGCGGATTTTAACTTCACGCTGATCGAATCGAATTGTTCGATAATTGATATCCCATCCTGGATACACGGAATCGATCATTTGTGTGGGGCTAATGCGTGCCAGGAATAGTTTTTTTTCTCCACTGAATCGATCCCGTGGTATCGTGAACAAGTGATAGCCACCCACAGAGTTTCTAAAAAATACTTTGAGTTTCCCTCTCAGTCAAAAAAGTAGAATGTTTCACAAACACCGAGCCGATTGGTGGATAGTCCACATGAACACGGTGTGAGCAAGGGTCATTAATAGCGTAAGTTTGTTTCATTCACTCATTCATTCTCTCATTCACTCACCCACTCATTCATTCACCCACTCACTCATTCATTCACTCACCCACTCATTCACTCACCCACTCATTCATTCACTCACCCATTCACTCATTCATTCACTCACACACTCATTCATTCACTCACCCATTCACTCATTCATTCACTCACACACTCATTCGCTCATCCAATTGTCATTCACCCATTCAGCCACCCTTTAATTCACCCACCCAGTTACTTCTCATTCATTCACCCACTAATTAATGCAATCATTTATTCACTCATTCATTCTCTTATTCACCCACTCATTAATTCACTCACCCACTCATTCTCTCATTCACCCACTCATTCACTCACTCACTCATTCACTCACCCACTCATTAATTCGCTCATCCAATTGTCATTCACCCACTGAGCCACCCTTTAATTCACCCTCCCAATTACTTCTCATTCATTCAATCGCCCACTAATTAATGAAATAATTTATTCACTCATTCATTCTCTCATTCACCCACTCATTCATTCACTCACCCACTCATTCTCTCATTCACCCACTCATTCATTCACTCACCCACTCATTCATTCACTAACCCACTAATTCATTCACTCACCCACTCATTCATTCACTCACCCATTCATTCACTCACCCACTCATTCATTCGCTCATCCAATTGTCATTCACCCACTCAGCCACCATTTAATTCACCCTCCCAGGTACTTCTCATTCATTCAATCGCCCACTAATTAATGCAATCATTTATTCACTCATTCATTTTCTCATTCACCCACCCACTCATTCATTCGCCCATCCAATTGTCATTCACCCACTCACCCCCACCCACCAGCCACCCTTTAATTCACCCACCCAGTTACTTCTCATTCATTCAATCGCCCACTAATTAATACAACTACTCGCCCACCCTCTCATCCACCCACCCGCTCACCAACAAAGACAAAGATCCCCCTGATAGCCAACAACAGACTGTAGGGGCAAGTGCTACGAAGGCCGGCAGGGCACACAAGGGGGTGGGTGGCCAACACCACGCCCGGCCGCCTTTGTCTCCCCCAGTGGCGATGTTTACTACACACCGCACCAGGTACTCGTTTAAGGCAGAGTCTACCTAGGGTAGCCCCAGAACTGGTTCAGATGATCGTCACACACACACCGACCCACTAAATAACTCACTCACTCTCAACGCTTTCATTCAGTCATTTATCTCACTAAGCCACTCTCAGCCTGGATATTTGCAAACTGGGAATGTGAAAAGTCTAAAGAAAGATTCTGATTCACTACAAACTATTGGCTCACTATCTTGTTTTACACTTTTATAGTTTTTATACTTATTATTGTGAGGCAATGCTTTTTCGGGTTTGTTCCACATGACTTTTCCAAATTTTACCCCGCCTCCTGGTAGCATTAACACAACAACCGCCACAATGTGTCGGTGACGTCACCACTGTGCTTGTGCCAGGCTAAGTGCACGTTGAGGCCATGTGAAGTGTCGAATGCTTGCTGACAGGAGGTCACGGGACAGACCAGCACGTGCCATGGGTTGGCTGGCTGAGATGACTGGTAGATGCACCAGCTTGTGCCCCCTACTGTGCAAACTTTCTGCATTTTAGCGGCACGGCGCCTCCGCTCGTTGTTGTGAGCGTCGCTCCTCTGCCCTCCGTTTTTGTTGGAGGGCGATTGCCTCCAGCTGCCCAGTAGCAGCGTCCTTCACGAGCCTCCTCCACAGAGCCTGAACTTGACACCGCTGGTACCGCTCTTCGGCAAGTCCACTCAGCTCCACATCCTCCCCCGTACCGCATCACTCCATCTCTTCTCCAGCCCGTGCCGTGCCCGTTTAGCTCCCTTCTATGTGGCCAAACAGAAGCTGCTTAGGCATGCGGCGGCTGGACATTAACACACGCGCACAAGCACCGATTCATTCGGTTCGTGAATTGCGCGTGACCGAACTGGAGCGAATTATCGGACGCACACTTTGAAGTTCGTCAAAGACGCGTCGATTTTGCAACAAGTGGAATCTGTGAAGCTAAGATGATGGTGGTGGTGGCGATTATGGTAATTATAATTATTGCCACCACCACAATGATAATGGTGGGGGAGCGGTGGTGCAGCGGTTAGCGCGCTGTTCTATTAATCCGGCGACCCGAGGTCGATTTCGGCTCACGGGCCAACACCTGTGACGATTATCTGAACCGGTGTCTGTCCTGGCCGTCCCATAGGTCCGCTCAGCCTCAAATGAGTACCTGGTGCGATGTGGGAAAACATCGGAAATAGGGATGCAAATGCGGCCGGGCATGGTGCTGGCCACCCATCCCATCGTGTGCCATGCCGGCCTTCGTAGGTGCTCACTAACAGCACTTTCCCCAGCAGTCTGTTAAACGCTACATGGGGGATCTTTGTCGTTGATAATGATGGTGAAAGGTGATTATGATAATGGTACGAGTAATGATGATCCTGATAGCGGGGTGGTGATGATTCTGATGTAGGTGGTGATGATGATACGACGGAAGAGCGTACTTTGAAGGTTGGGTTTTGATCTGGCAGATGGAAGGAAGCGATGGTGAGAGCTGTGGAAGTAATCGATGGCCTTACTCGTAATTAATGTTTGGATTTGTGGTCATGGAGCGGATGCTGGTGCTAGCGGTAAGGAGTACTGTATCATGATGATGATATAGTCATCGATGACTCTTAACAGATAAATGTGAGATACGATTTCTGATAGCGGCTGAAAGTGGTGCCGTCTGCAATTTGAGGTGGCCAGGTGCTTCAGGGGAGGTGGAGGGGGGAGTTCAAAGTGGCTATGTCAATATGACATAGCACCTCCGATTAGTACGGTTGGATACGTACGGTGCGAAAGAAGTTCAACGTACATAATACACTGGGTGAGTGGGTGAGTCGGTCAATAGTTGGGTGAGTGAGTAGGTGGGTGAGTGATTGCTTTGCTGTTCTTCCTCCCGCACCTCCGATTAACACGGTTGGCTACGTACGGTGCGAAAGAAGTTCAACGTACATACAGTGGGTGAGTTGGTCAATAGTTGGGTGAATGGGTGAGTGAGGAGGTGAGTGAGTGATTGCTTTTCTGTCCTTCCTCCCGCACCTCCGATTTGCACGGTTGGCTACGTGCTGTGCGAAAGAAGTTCAACGTACATGCACTGGGTGAGTGGGTGAGTCGGTGAATAGTTGGGTGAATAGTTGGGTGAGTAGGTGAGTGAGTGATTGCTTTGCTGTCCTTCCCACCGTACCTCCGATTTGCACGGTTGGCTAGGTACGGTGCGAAAGAAGTTCAACATACGTACATACATACCTAGCCGGCACTTTTGATATCTTGTGTTCAAATATGGGGGTTTAGCCTCTCGTCCACAGTGATTAAACTGGGTTCTCAAGTGTAGCGAGTTGATGGTTTCAGCCCGGTCGGCAATGTACTGCACTGCATTTGGTTGCATTGCAACTCTGATAACTTAAGCACGTCTCGATTTAAAGCTTTCGTGACTGCAGGGATTCATCTTCTTGGTTCTTTCGGTAAAGTCACGTAGACGGCTGCTTGCGTTGTGGCCGAAACGTCGTGAGAATTGTATTTTATTATGTTTTATTTTTTTTTATGTATTATTTCCCTTCTACGTGACTTTACCGAAAGAACCAAGAAGATTAAGCACGTCAGTTTTGACTAAATGTTTTACATTGAGGAGCTAGTTCAGTCCCTTATTATTGCGTCAGGAGTAGCAGAGCTCATCGTTGCTCTCCCTCCTGCTTTGTGTTCGTGAATCTGGATGACCACAGGCGTACAACGGGAGGGTTATTTTGCATTCGTTTTGACGGGCATACGACAAACATTATTCTCATATTGCAGGGTGGGTGGGAAAGAAAGTTCTGCTACTGCCGCGTGGAACAGATGTCACTTACAGTTCAAGTTCATTTCAAGTTCATGTATTAGGTATAGCCCTGTGAGCCATTCGGCTCTTGAATCGGGTGCAACCGCAACAAACAAAAAACAAAAACATGAACAAAAAACATCTTAAAGTAAATATGTGACTAAGTGCAAACAGAAAATCCAAAAAAGACAGCAAAATATTGCAGAAAAAACACCGTCCAGAGTTAGACTGATGGCCTTAATCTAAGTTGTCTTGTGGTTGTTGTTGTTGTTTGACTTGCATCCCACTGGGAGTTTTACAGTGTTTGCACACAGTGTTTTCTGCAATATTTTGCTGTCTTTTCTTGGATTTTCTGTTTGCACTCAGTCACATATTAACTTTTAAGATGTTTTTTGTTCATGTTTTTGTTGTTTGTTGCGGTTGCACCCGATTCAAGAACCGAATGGCTCACAGGGCTATACCTAATAA